GAAGAGCGTTTGAGGACATGTGTGCTCAAATGTATTACAGAGGGAAGATGTTTGGCTTTGTGCACTTGTACAATGGGCAAGAGGCTGTCTCAACTGGGTTCATCAAGCTCCTGACACGGACAGATTCTGTCGTGAGCACATACAGAGATCATGTCCACGCCCTTAGCAAGGGAGTTCCTGCTCGTGCTGTGATGAGTGAACTCTTTGGCAAGACCACCGGTTGCTGCCGAGGCCAAGGTGGGTCCATGCACATGTTCTCCAAGGAACACAATCTGCTCGGTGGGTTTGCTTTTATCGGCGAGGGAATTCCAGTGGCCACTGGCGCTGCTTTCACCTCTAAGTACAAGAGGGAAGTCCTGAAAGAGAACTGTGAAGATGTCACTGTTGCGTTTTTCGGGGATGGGACCTGTAACAACGGACAGTTCTACGAGTGTCTGAACATGGCTGCTCTCTGGAAATTGCCCATCATTTTTGTGGTGGAGAATAACCTGTGGGCGATCGGGATGTCCCATCTGAGGGCGACTTCTGATCCTGAGATATGGAAGAAAGGCCCGGCTTTCGGAATGCCCGGTGTTCATGTGGATGGAATGGATGTCTTGAAGGTGCGGGAAGTGGCTAAGGAAGCAGTGGCAAGAGCCAGGAGAGGAGAAGGCCCCAGTTTGGTGGAATGTGAGACTTACAGATTCAGAGGACATTCTTTGGCTGATCCCGACGAGCTCCGTGATGCAGGTAAAGCATTATCTTAGGATAAATTACAGAATCTTTTACCCTTGTTCAGATACTGAATGCCACTTTGATTCTTATTCTTTTGATCTGTGCATTCAAACTGTTTCTTGTTTATGTTTTGGCAGCTGAGAAAGCGAAGTACGCAGCCAGAGATCCGATCACTGCGCTGAAGAAATACATGATAGAGAAGAAGCTGGTGAGTGAAGGGGAGCTGAAGAAGATAGAGAAGAGGATAGATGAAGTGGTGGAGGAGGCGGTCGAGTTTGCAGACTCAAGCCCACAGCCACCACGCAGTCAGTTGCTAGAGAATGTCTTTGCCGATCCCAAAGGGTTCGGAATCGGTCCTGACGGTCGCTACAGATGTGAGGATCCCAAGTTCACGGAAGGTACCGCTCATGTCTGAAGAAAGGATACTCATTCTTCTTCCATTCTTAAAGACCAAAGCCGAGATAGTTCTGTTTTGTCTCATGATGTTCTTTTTCTCTCTAAATGTTAAATTAAGTGCTGCCAGGAAAAAAAAATCTTTGGATGTTTAGAAGCTTAGTGGGGAGTTTTGACTTGTAAAAAAGAATTCTTTTCAGATATTTAAAGAAAAAAAACTCGTAGATGGAGAGATTTTCAGACAAAAAAAAAACTGAGAGCAGAGTACTTTGATTACTTGTGATGTCGACTGGTCGGCCTGAGCGAGCATACTCGAGAGCTTCCGTTTTGTCTAGAGGGTTATAAACGGATCGGGTTTTGTGGGCGAGTGACCCGACCCGACCCGATTTTTCCCCTTTACCTTTGCAGGATTTATATTCGTTTTTCTTTTTTCAAAATTATTTTTTTTCTTTCTTTTCTGGTTCGATAATGGCGGCTTCCTGCATAGCCATTCCCTTATCTTCTTCTTCTTCTTCTAATGCCATTCTCAAATCCAAGACCCTAATATCTTCCTCATCAGAAATCCTAAAAATCCAGGTCCCTTGTTCCATTTCCTTTCGCCTCTTCGCTCCTTCTCTCCCGTTGGTAGCTAAAAATCAGCAGACGAAGGTTTCCTCTTCGAATTTCTCAGTTTTGAATGAGGAAGCGGTTGAAGGAGAAGAGATCGATGGGGAAAGCGTCGTATCCGATGGAGAGGCGGAGAAGAAGAAAGAGAGGCCGTGCGAGTTGTACGTGTGTAATCTTCCGAGAAGCTACGACATTCCTCAGCTTCTCGAGATGTTCCAACCGTACGGAACTGTAATCTCCATTGAGGTTGTTCTGTAATCTCCGATATTTTACATTTCGTATCTACTCATCGTGACAATGTCTGTCTTCGATGGTCTTGCTAGTCTTTTGAATCTGTCGGACACGATTTCTCGGTCCATTTAGATCATGAAATCGTTGCGGCTCTAGTAGTTGGCCTTGTGGGAAATGGATTGTTCGATCATATTGGGTCAACTGAAACTTCGTAGATTTCTAAGCTTTGAAAATAAATTGAAGAGACAATATTCGAGTGTATAGAGAGAGATAGAGAGATTGAAGAGATTGATCTTTTCAACCAGACACGGTCTACATTGGTAGTTAGGATTTCCAGAAGTTTAGCCGGGAAAGAAAAAGACGTTGGAAAGGGCAAATCTTTCTTCTTAGCAATCAGGCAGGCTGGCATTGCAGCAATGTTTCTTGATGTTTAATGATCCGCAGGTTTCACGAAATCCTGAGACGGGAGAGAGCCGAGGAAGCGGTTATGTCACGATGAGTTCTGTATACTCTGCAAAGATCGCCATTGCTGCCCTTGATGGATCAGTAAGCTCGAAACTTACCCAACCAGAAATACCCTTTTTCTTCTTCATCCAACATGAACTCAATGCAAGCTTTCTTGCTGTGTAGGAGGTTGGCGGGCGGGAAATGCGTGTGAGATTTTCTGTTGAGATGAACCCTGGGGCCAGAAGAAACCCAGCAGGGTTGAATTCAACTCCAAAGAAGATTCTGATATATGAAAGCCAATACAAGATTTATGTCGGAAATCTCCCCTGGGCCACTAAACCTGGAGACCTGAGAAACCACTTCAGCAGGTTTGGGACCATAGTTAGTGTGAGAGTACTGCATGATCGAAAGGTGGGCAAGAATCGAGTCTTTGCATTTCTCTCTTACTCAAAGCCCGAAGAACGTGATGCTGCAATATCGCTAACTGGAACAGTTGAGTTCATGATCCCTCGAGATCTTAGAAATTCGCCGCTTGTGCTCTTCCTCCTCTCTTTTTTTTTTCCTTCCTAAACACGGTCTTTCTTGCAGGAATTTCAAGGTCGGAGAATAGTTGTGAGAGAAGGGATCGAGAGGGATGAGTCATAAACCAACACACTTTTCTACCTTTTGAGTGTTCAGAAGCTGAGCAAGTGTTGTTGCAACAACCAGAGTGTTGGCCGGATTTTCAAGCTGAAGAACACAAGTCCATACCGGCTTGGCCTCTTGGCGATGAAACTGTGTACAATTCCATTGAATTCCAGGATTCTTTCCTCATTTTCTCAAGTAAGCAAGCTTATTATACAGATCCCTTCTGTCCAAAATGTGTATGTTTTGACTGTAGCTTCCCAGAAAGGTAAGTTCCCAACCCAATCCCCGCATCAACGAGTCTCGTATCACCCGTTATCTCCACCTTCATAATCTCTTCTAGAAACTTCTCGATTTTCTCTGGTTCATCCTCTTTGCAGACGATAGGAATAATCATCAACCAAGACTCCGAATGTAACCCTTCCCCGTTCTTCATGACAGTTTCTACCACATCACACGCTTCTTCTAATTTTCCAATACTGCAAAACCCATTAACCAAACAGTGAGAGACCGAGAAATGAGGAGAAAGCCCTTTTGATATCATCTCTTCTAAGTATTTCTTGGCTTCATCAAACATCCCCTGACTACACAATCCCCAAACCAGCATCCTATACGACACCAAGTTGGGCAAGCACCGATTAGCTGACATATCATCAAGAACCTTCAGGGTATCAATGGCACGACCTTCTCTGCAAAAACCTAGAATTATAGTGTTGTAATGAACTATATCGGGACTACATCCTTTGAACTTCATCCTACAGAGTAGCTTGTACGCCTCTCGAAGCTGTTTCTTCCTACACAAACTGTTCAACAACGATGTGTAACTCAACCTGTCGGGCACGAACCCTTTATTCAACATATCCTCCAACAACTCCATGGCACCATTAGCCTGTCCCTTCCTGCAAAACCCTTGTATCAGAATCCTATAAGATTCAACGTCAGGAACAACATCTCTCCCGAGCATTTTACCGAACAGTTGGTAAGCAATACTCAAGTCACCATTCAGGCAGAAGGCACGCATCATTATATTGTAGGATATCGTGTTGGGCAACACTCCGTGAAGCCGGGCATTCTTGAAAAGCTCGAAACCTTGCCGGAGATAGCTCCGGTGCTCAACAAGAACTTCTAGAATTCGGTTCAGATGTTTCGGCTGTGGGGTGAAATTGAATTCCAGCATTTTGTAAAACGTTCTTAAGACCTTCTCCGGTAAGTTTGCTTCAGCGTAAACCTTGATCAGATACGTGAACAACTTTCCAGTGACCGGGTATCGACTCGACTTGAGTTGTGCAAGAACATCATCGATTAGATTGAAATACTTGCCACGACCGAGCTTGAGGATGAGGATGAGGTAAGAAGACTGGGAATGGCGGAAATTGGGTTGCAGGGAAGCGTAGTCGAAGATCTCTTTGGCGAGGAGAGGATCCGATTGAGAAGCTACGAGCTTCTGAACCCGACTCGGAGATCCGATTAGGGATTTAGGACCCGGGTTGGATACGGAAGGCGAGACAGTCGGTTCTCGAGTTCGATCATGTTCAGGTGGTCGGGAAGAAGAGAAAAGGGAGATCGATGAGGCTACTGTCGGGAAATTCAGGCGGTGAGCGACGGACATCACGACGCCGGAGGAGTAGCGGAGCTGCCACCGCATCTTTCGTCGAGACTAAAATGAATTAACAGCATTTGATGAGGATGTATTATTATATATTTTTTTCAAAAATAAATATAAATTATGGTTTACGTAGTATGAAATGAATGGTTGTCGCAATGAATGTAGGCCCAATATGTTAAATGGGCTTCATATTATAAGCCCAATAAAGGAAATCGACATAACGGAAATGAAAGCCCAATAAAAGCAATGTATTAAAAAAAAAAGCTGCCTGCAAACTGGGACCGGTCAAACCAAAAAAGACCCGACCATCCTCATCATTTGAAAAGTAAGCGTAGGTTGTAATAAAATAAATTATGAATGGATAGATATGATGAAAAGTCCAACGAACACGTGGACAGACGAGCTTTGTATGGAGCGCTCACACTTCTTCCACGTCGTCGGTCCATTTTAAATTTGATTACGGCAAAAATAAAATAAAAATAAAAAATAAAACAAAAAAAGCAATGATTATAAGATAAAATTTGAATTTTACAGTAATAAAATGGAATCGTATATTTATAAGCATATGAGAATACGCAACTTAATGGGCATCTGATGTAATTCTTTAGCTCGTAAAATCGTTTTGAGAAAGTACGATCCATTCAGCATTATCATTTTACAGCAGTAAGGTCACGTGAACCGAGATTTGGAGCCTTTTGAAAATTCCAGAAAATAAATCAAGAAATACGACAAAAAAGATAACGTAATGATTTTTCAACATCGAGGGCATGGGCGTGGAATTACGACTATATTTTATAATACTCTATAAAAATTTAAACTTGCTAATTACCTGGTGTTTTTTTTTTACTTCACCTACTCTTTTTGACGCCGCAACTAAAAAAGTTAAAGGTTATGACTATATATTATGCATTGATGCTGTTATTATGTTACTCAATAATGACGATCCAAAACATTAAAAATAGCAACAAAAAAAAATACTTAAAATAGGCCTCAATAAATACTTTTAACTAAAGTGTTTTTTAACCATAAAGAAAAAGAAACTATTCCACTTCTTCACCTCTCTCTCATAGATTCTTCTTCCCCCTCGTCCATCTCCCATCACTCTCACCAACAAACCCTAATACCCTACACACACACATAAACACAGTCAGTCGGAAGAACAGAGAGCCATGGCCGAGGGTCACGCAAAAGCAGAGCACGTAGCCCGAGTAGTGGAGGAACAGCAGAAAGTACGACCGGAGAAAGCCGTCTCGTCCGCCTCTTCCACGCCTGAATCCTACTCCAAGGGCGGCGGAGGAGGAGGAAACCTCCGCCGCACCATCGCCGCCGCCGTATTCGTCGTGATTCTCCTGGTGGGTCTGACGGCACTAATCGTGTGGCTCGTCTA